CTTATGTCATTCTTCGGCATCCGCAGATGATATCGGGTGGAAACCGGAAACCCGGGATGTTCAGCTTTCCATGGTGTTAACGTCATTGAGACATATTGTTTTTCCACTTGGCCCAGACTGGAACAGACATTCAGTGTAATACGTCAGGAGATACAGCATCGGGGAAAGGCCATTTTATATATGTAAGTATTATAAATGTTCATCAGTGTGAATGAGTGAATGAGGTGTATGTATACTCATATGTATGAACTGTATATATGTATATTCCTTGTCTGTTGAGCTATACCCCCGTTCTCCCACACTACACACATAAGGATAAAGGTGTCTCTACTGTAGAATGTGAAATTCTACGTTAAGCAAACGTTGCAGTATGCTCGATCCCCTAGACACCTAGTATATACCTAGTTTTTCACCTTGTCAATAACTGCAGAGCGTGTACATGCATTTTCATTTCAACACCTATACAAGCCTTCGATGGCTTTGATGGGTCATCCAAGGTAAGGGCGAAATATGAGTACGGAACTGACATCAAGTTTCCAAACTGCTTATATACTGTATTCATCAGCTGTTTTGTTTGTGTATGCCTTTTACCTGATTGAATATTATAAGTATCCGGGTATTAATTGATAACTACTTTAAAAGTTCGGGTGATTATTGTTATAACAAATACACATGCTCTTATTTTCCATGGAAACAATTTCAGAAAGCTAACATTTTAGAGGTTAACATATTATATCTTTAGTTCATTTTATTGACAAATCGGAATATGCTGAACAACTTCTTTGACCGACTTTAAATGTAACATTTTTGGGTTTAAATCCTAGCTGACCTGCAAATGTTTATGCAGGCCTTGCAAGGCTTTGCAAGACTCGCCTGAAAGCAGAGTCAGATTACTAGGTCAGACCTGATTTAATAATATATTCCAAACTCCTCAGAGAAGTGAAGAAAGGGGAGTAACTCCCACAGAAGATTTATTTTATAATAAAACACACACCAGTAGTATCTTAAATAGTGTAATGGGAAACACAAGTATTTTATCAAAGTACCCAAACCTACTGATGACAAAACAATGTCCATGTTTAAATAAAGGATAACAAAATTTTCAAAACCTTCAATTATTGCAACGGAGACAACTCATTCGAGGGCAACCACGTTCACTTTCGCTCTCTGCACCCCTGGAAAATGCATAACTATTTGATTGGTCTCAGGTAAAAAGAAACCCTGACCAATCGCTCGACTGATACCTGCCCTTTGAAGATTACAGAGGAGCGACACCTGACTTTAAAGCCAGTAAATTTTACGCAGCCGTCAGATTATTTTGATGTACATCAAAGGGTCTAAATAGTTTTCTCGTTTCATGCACACACTCAGCCTTCGCTTTTGCTATGACAAGTTTCAGGGGTACAGAGGCCAGAGGGCGAAAATGAGCGGAACCCTGGAGTATCGAGGACTTGTCTACATGTATAAATGACCATAGCTAATGAAATGAGACATAGTACGTATTAAGTTAATCTTACTTAAGGAAACAATATAATATGTTTATTTTTTAAGGACTATGTTGTTCTCGCTATGGTGATATGTGTATCAGACCCCATGGAGCTGTCCGACCAAAGGACTTACCTGTTGGCAGGAACAGGACTTTATGAATCTCCGAGAGGGAAGTAAAGGCCACGTACCCCCTCTAACGTCGACTGAAACACAGACCTAACTCAGTGACACGAAGACGAAAAACACCTTACCAGCCAACCAAGCTCAACGGGGAGTCTGGTTTTGGTCACCAGGAGAAACAGGCCTAGCAGAGTGTGTATGTCGTAGATGCCAGAGAGATAGTTTTGATACAGGTATTGGGATACAAAGCTTACACTACTAGAAGATTGCATCCTTGATACTCCAATGGTTACGCTCACTTTCGGTATCTGCCCCCCTGGAATATGTCAGAGCAAAATCGAAGGTCCAGTGTGCGCCACCTTGTTGATGAGACAAGAAGTTATACCTGAGACCAATCAAACTGCTAACTTCGTGCCTTCAATTTTGCTATAACATATTCCAGGGGTACAGAGAACGAAAGTGAGCGTAACCCCTGGAGTATCGAGGATGGGAAGATTGAGTCACAGCCCCGAAGTTACAAGTCTTATAACTACGTAAATCGGATGTTGTTACCATCTGTACATGTGCTTGTAATGAGACTGTTGAACAATATCTGTGAATAAAGCATGACTACTACGTACCAACTATAACCAGCGTTCACGGCCTACTGTGTTACATACGTAAAGACACTTGGCCATCATAAGCATCGTCAAAGTGTTAATGAATAACAACAAAAATCTAAACAAACACTCATTCTATTTTTATTATCAAATGAGGTCCTTAAAAAGTAATCTACGTCTAACATTAAGTGAACATATCCATCGTATAAAAGTAGTAAGTAACGTCTAGATATAAAAGTCGTATATACATGTACATCATATGAAGATAGTAAACAGCAATTCATAAATCATTTAAGTCGTTCTACAGTCCAACCTCCATTAATCGAACTTCGAAGATTCGAATTTCTCGATGTGTCGAACTTGCGGCAAAAAACGGAGTTTATCCCCGTATATTACCCTACTAATAATATATTCATGACTCGATCTCCTATGAGTCGATTTTCTTACTGTTTCGAAGTAAAACATTCGAAACTACAACTAATAAAGCGAAGTCAAAAACTTTCTTGTATAAGAACAATGAAATGTGCATTTCAAGATAGGAATTAGATATTTTTTTTATAAATGAGACTTTTTGAGAAATGAAGCGTCTGATGGCAAAAAATGTTTCCTCCTAATCTGGTACAAAAATGTATTGCTACCTACACTCCCAATAACTTAGGTCCTCACTAACTCGTACCCTAATCTGGTACCAATGTATTGCTACCTACACTCCCAATAACTAAGGTCCTCACTAACTCGCACCTTAATTTGGTACCAATGTATTGCTACCTACACTCCCAATAACTAAGATCCTCAATAACTCGCACCCTAATCTGGTACCAATGTATTGCTACCTACACTCTCAATAACTAAAATCCTCATTAACTCGCACCCTAATCTGGTACCAATGTATTGCTACCTACACTCCCAATAACTAAGGTCCTCACTAACTCGCACCCTAATATGGTACCAATGTATTGCTACCTACACTCTCAATAACTAAGGTACTCACTAACTCGCACCCTAATCTGTTACCAATGTATTGCTACCTACACTCAATAACTAAGGTCCTAACTAACTCGCACCCTAATCTGGTACCAATGTATTGCTACCTACACTATCAATAACTAAGGTCCTCACTCACTCGCACCCTAATCTGGTACCAATGTATTGGTACCTACACTCCCAATAACTAAGATCCTCACTAACTCACACCCTTATCTGGTACCAATGTATTGCTACCAACACTCCCAATAACTAAGATCCTCAATAACTCGCACCCTAATCTGGTACCAATGTATTGCTACCTACACTATCAATAACTAAGGTCCTCACTCACTCGCACCCTAATCTGGTACCAATGTATTGCTACCTACACTATCAATAACTAAGGTCCTCACTCACTCGCACCCTAATCTGGTACCAATGTATTGCTACCTACACTCCCAATAACTAAGATCCTCACTAACTCGCACCCTTATCTGGTACCAATGTATTGCTACCAACACTCCCAATAACTAAGATCCTCAATAACTCGCACCCTAATCTGATACCAATGTATTGCTACCTCCACTCCCAATAACTAAGATCATCACTAACTCGCACCCTAATCTGATACCAATGTATTGCTACCTACCCTCTCAATAACTAAGGTCCCCACTAACTCGCACCCTAATGTGGTACCAATGGATTGCTACCTACACTCAATAACTAACGTCCTAACTAACTCGCACCCTAATCTGATACCAATGTATTGCTACCTACCCTCCTAATAACTAAGGTCCTCACTAACTCGGACCCTAATCTGGTACCAATGTATGGCTACCTACACTCAATAACTAACGTCCTAACTAACTCGCACCCTAATCTGGTACCAATGTATTGCTACCTACACTCAATAACTAAGGTCCTCACTAACTCGCACCCTCTTATATTACCTTCAATAACACCCTCATTTACTCACTATCTCTCTCTCGCACAATAACTTTAATTTGTCATAAAAAACCCCAATGATTTACGTCATTGTATGCCTAGTTTGTATATACATAAAACAAACAAATAAACATTAAAAAGAAACTGTCATTTTTAAATCTACAATGATTACGATTTCATTAGTTTCAAATAATTTTCAGAACCTGATTCATTCTGCACTCTGACAAACGTTATTATCTACAATTAAAGAGTTAATTCAAAACAAACTAATACGAAGATACGTATCTACATACGTCACTCACAATGTTCAGTAGTATACAATACGTATTATGATGTAAAACTTAAAAGCGATATGCATATCTCGATACCAAACTCACAGTACGATATCTCGATACCACACTCACAGTACGATACGTATCTCGATACCAAACTCAGAGTACGATATTTATCTCGATACCAAACTCACAGTACAATACGTACATCGATACTAAACTCCCAGTACGATACTTATCTCGATACCAAACTCATTGTACGATATATATATGGATACCCAAACTCACAGTACGATATATATCTCGATACCAAACTCACTATACGATTCGCATCTTGATACAAAACTCATAGTACCATATATATCTCGATACCAAACTCACAGTACGATACGTATCTCGATACCGAACTCACAGTACGATATATATATATCGGTACCAAACTCACACTACAGTAAGTATTCAGAAACCAAACTCAAAGTAGGGTACGTATCCCGATACCAATCTCACAGTACGATACGCAATTCGATACCAAACTAACAATAAAATACGTATCTCGATACCTAACTCACAGTACGATATATATCTCGATACCAAACGCACAGTACAATACGTACATCGATACCAAACTCACAGTACGGTACGTATCCCGATACCAAACTCACAGTACGATATATATATATGGGTACCAAACTCAAAGTACGGTACGTATCCCGATACCAAACTCACAGTACGATACGTATCTCGATACCAAACTAACAATAAAATACGTATCTCGATATCAAATCAACAATATAGTACCTTTCTCAATACCAAATTTACAGTCCGACGCGTATCACGATAACACACTCCTAGACAGATACATATCTCGAAATCAAACTCACAGTATCTCGATACCAAGCTTAAAGTGCGACATGTATCTCGATACCAAACTCACACAGCGATACCAAAATCTTAGTACGATACGTATCTTTATATATATATATTCTATCTTAATCATGTACATCTTTAAAGCATTCACTATTAAAATAAGAAATGTGCAAATTACAGGAAATTATAGTAAAAATATTGTAAAAGTTGGAATGGAATAGAAATTTATTATCAGCGGTCAGACAATGATCGCTTGCTCTCAACCTCCCTAAGTAAATATCTGTTTGATTCACTGTATCGCTACATCGTTAAGGATGAAAGGGCGAGCCAATCTAGAGAGATGTAAACATTGTTCCCGTGTTTATCATTGATTTACCGTCAGTTCCTTGTAACCCGCTGGTCGGAACCCATTTTAATCGAGCAAAGTCGATGACATATTACGATAAATTAGAATCACTGATTCAATTTAATTCATTTGTACTGATCACAATTTTATTTTAGTTTAGGAGTTGATTTGTGACGTGTTAAAAAAACAATCATCAAAAATGTAACTGGCATACTGTGTACCTGTATGTTTTTATACGTCGCTTAAAATTAAATTTAGGAAATATCTTTAATAAAGTCAGAAATATACTTTTAAAATACTAGACATGTCATTAAAATCATATCATTTTTAAGAACTATTGAATAAAGTGTCCGTGTTCCCGTCACGGACACTACTCCGGCACATCGCCAGAATAATCAAAACTCCTGTCACAGAGACTACTTCCGGCACATCGCCAGAATAATCAAAACTCCCGTCACAGAGACTACTTCCGGCACATCGCCAGGATGATCAAAACTCCCATCACAGAGACTACTCCGGCACATCGCCAGAATAATCAAAACTCCCGTCACAGAGACTACTTCCGGCACATCGCCAGGATGATCAAAACTCCCGCCAAACCAAACAGAATTCCTCCGGCGGTGGAAAGTCCGAATGCCCAACCAAGATTGCTTTGTTCTGACCCGAATATGATAACTCCAATCAAGATGGCTCCGGCTGGAAAAATGAAAACATCGAAATGTCGTTAAAGTTACGTTTGTGCGTAACTCCAATACCAAAGAGTTCCAAAAACAATGTGATTTGAGAATGAGAAACACGACAGTTATTGGGAGACAACTCTGTAACAAAGTAACATAAGCATGAAAAGCGCACATTATTGTGCAAATTTTACAGTTGATGATTTCAGTGGTAAAATTGAAATTGTATAGAAATCATTTTATCACATAATCGGCCTATTAAATATAATCCAGTGAATTCGCCTGTGTAATATTTTTACCTATGTCACTAGTGTAATATACTCTGGAGCGTTTTTCATTGGCTTCTCCGTTTATAGTATCTTTTTTATTTCATTTCATATGAGCTTTTATGAAACTCGTCTCGAAGTTTTAATTTTTGCGAGCCTTACTCCCAAGACTCGTTTCATAAAATCTCATATGAAATGAAAACTCATTTAGGATTCTATATGTTACAAAACAAGAAAATCTCACCTGATGCAAAACAAACTAAGACGTCAAGAATACCCAGGATCTTGTTCCCCGAAACTTTTGGCACGCATAGGTACAATACGGTGAAAAGTAAAACTGCAAGAGTCCCGACGAATCCGAGTCCTTCAAACGCTCTGATTTGTTCAAACTTGGCGAACGCTGAAAAAAAGGGAAAAAAGTGAAGTAATGAATATATAAGCTTATGTTTGTTTGAGTAAGTGCTAGTACGTGAAATTGCACAGGAGTTTCTGATTGTGTACAACGAATGTGTGTTTGTGTTTATTCAACATTTTACCTGTAATTATACTGAGGTTTCAATCTACAAATATTGTATTAAGATTGGAAGGACTGGGTGAGGTTCTACTGAACTTTGCCCTTAATTCAAATAAATTATGTACCGAACCAGTGTCCAGACTAACAAAGTTCTACTGAACACACAAACTGAAATGTCTAGACTAACAATGTTCCACTGAACACACAAACCAAAGTGTCCAGACTAACAATGTTCTACTGACCACACAAACCAAAGTGTCCATACTAACAATGTTCTACTGAAAACACAAACCGAAATGTTCAGACTAACAATGGTCTACTGAACACACAAAATGAAATGTCTAGACTAACAATGGTCTACTCAACACACATACCGAAGTGTCCAGACTAACAATGTTCTACTGAACACACAAACCGAAGTGTCCAGCCTAACAATGGTCTACTGAACACACATACCGAAGTGTCTAGACTAACAATGGTCTACTGAACACACATACCGAAGTGTCCAGCCTAACATTGGTCTACTGAACACACATACCAAAGTATCCAGACTAACAATGTTCTACTGTACACATAAACCGGAGTATCCAGACTAACAATGTTCTACTCAACACACATACCGAAGTGTCCAGACTAAAAATGTTCTACTGAACACACAAACCAAAGAGTCCCGACTAACAAGGTTCCACTGAACACACGAACTAAAGGGTCCAAACGTTCAAAGTTCTACTGTACACACAAACCAAACTGTCCAGACTAACAATGTTCTACTAAACACACATACCGAAGTGTCCAGACTAAAAATGTTCTACTGAACACACAAACCAAAGCGTCCAGACTAGCAATATTCTACTGAACACACAAAACGAAGTATCCAGAATAACAATGTTCTACTGAACACACAGACCGGAGTATCCAGACTAACAATGTTCTACTGTACACATAAACCGGAGTATCCAGACTAACAATGTTCTACTGAACACATATACCAAAGTGTCCAGACTAACAAAGTCCTACTGAACACACACACGTCTACTGAACACACATACCGACGTGTCTAGACTAACAATGGTCTCCTGAACACACATACCGAAGTGGCCAGACTAACAATGTTCTACTGAACACACAAACCAAAGTGTCCAGACTAGCAATATTCTACTGAACACACAAACCGAAGTATCCAGACTAACAATGTTCTACTGAACACACAAACCAAAGTGTCCCGACTAACAAGGTTCCACTGAACACACAAACTAAAGGGTCCAAACGTTCAAAGTTCTACTGTACACACAAACCAAATTGTCCAGACTAAAAAGTTTCCACTGTAAAAACAAACCAAAGTGTCGAGACTAACAAGGTTCCACTGTAAAAACAAACCAAAGTGTCCAGACTAACAAAGTCCTACTGAACACACACACTGAAGTGTCTAGACTAACAGTGTTCCACTGAACACATAAACCGAAGTGTCAGGACTAACAAGGTTCCACTGTACACACAAACGAAATTGTCCAGACTAACAAGGTTCTAATGTACACACAAACCAAAGTGTCCAGACTAACAAGGTTCCACTGACACACAAACCGAAGTGTCCAGACTAACAAGTCTCCACTGTAAAAACAAACCAAAGTGTCGAGACTAACAAGGTTCCACTGTAAAACCAAACCAAAGTGTCCAGACTAACAAAGTCCTACTGAACACACACACTGAAGTGTCTAGACTAACAGTGTTCCACTGAACACATAAACCGAAGTGTCAGGACTAACAAGGTTCCACTGTACACACAGACCAAAGTGTCCAGACTAACAGGGTTCCATTGACACACAAACCGAAAGACTAACAATGTTCTACTGAACACACATCCCGAAGTGTCAAGACTAACAATGTTCTACTGAACACACAAACCGAAGTGTCCAGACTAGCAAGGTTCCACTGTACACACAAACCAAAGGGTCCAGACTAACAAGGTTCCACTGTACACACAAACCAAAGTGTCCAGACTAACAGGGTTCCATTGACACACAAACCGAAGTGTCCAGACTAACAAGGTTCCACTGTACACACAAACCGAAGTGGCCAGACTAACAAGGTTCCACTGTACACACAAACCAAAGTGTCCAGACTAACAAGGTTCCACTCTACACACAAAAGGAACCGTCCAAACAGATGATGTTTTACCGTACACACACAACAAAAATATTCACACCAGCAATACTGTGGTTTAGAATGGCATCTACAGAGTATATTTGTTTATGGAAATGAACTAGTGCAGATTAATCGGGGACACCCCCTGCAGCTCTTACACTGGTAGCCCTGACGGAAAGCAATTAATTTAGTTATCACACATAAATATTGTTGTTAGATTGGAAAATGGGCCCCCAACGGTAATCCGATACGATTTGTATTTCCCTCGTGGGTTTCACACACAAACAGGAGGAGAAGGATTCTGGAGTTATGCCCCTTTGATCAATAAGCAACACACTGTGACTGTCAGTACCGGCCCTATTGATAATTTCACATGAAAGCCTAATGGTTATTACATCAAACGTAAAATGGCAGGGATATGATCACTCCTCTAGTTCCACACACAAAAATGTATGGCAGAGGACATTTCGTAGGCGGGTCCCCGGTTTTGCGTTATCATTGTTGGGGTTGTGGAGTTAACTCATTCACCCCTGCAGAAAATTTGAACTCTTCCAATTCAAAGGTTGGAATAGTTCATTATGAAATTGCACGGGTAAATAAGTTAAAGGGTATATTATCGCGGGCTTTAAAGTGACCCCCTCCTCAAAAATGTATCTTTTGAAAATGACCTAAACAAATATTTCTCAATAGTGACAATGGTAGTAATTTAGTTTAACTTGTTGCTTCTCTTTACCATATATTGGCACCATTTTCGAGTTGTTAAGTCATATCCGGCACACTGTAGGTTACACAAATTCAATAATGTATACGGACATTGAAGACAGGGAAGCTCTCGGTGCACTTTCTCTTTAAAGAAATATAGAAAATCAAATACGGTGTTTTGTTTGTCATCTTCGAAATCCAATTCCTATTTCGATACTACCGTATCGTTTCTAAAAATATATGTATAGAGTGCACAACTCTTGGATTTCGAGATTTTTTTGTTTGTAGTTTTCCGCGGAAGTCGCATAGCTGCCACGTAAGCAAATAAGCAGTTGCATGCACATCAACAATTCAGATATACTATTATATTTTTATTTATTCATTTATTTATTTTGTAGTTCGGAAAAGTGATTAAATGATGTGTGGTTCAATTGAAAAATATATTAAATTCAACCACGGAATTAGATTGTTATCTAAGTCCGTGATTTAACCGTATAACCGACAGCCGACAATCTTTACGTATCCGGAAGTTCCAACCTAGGGTACCTGGTGCCGATTTTATTATTAGTATTTTTAAAGTTGTCAACATCGGAAACATTCATGGCTGCAAATCCAACGAAAAACCCGCATCATCTTCGAAGAACAAGTTGATACATGAAATCGACGAGTCTAAAACGGCTATTAGTATTAGGGCCTAGTAATGCCGGACCGAACACAGTTCTGATCAGTCTCAATGGCGGACCCAGGGGTGTTGCCCAAGTTGCCCGGGTA